AGGTTTCCATGCGAAGACATCACGATTGGCGCATAGAAAGTCAATGAGCTCGCATTCCTATTTGGCCAGCAGCTGGGTCCCAATCTGCACCGTCTTGGTCAGGTCGGTGGGGTCGATTCCCACCACCTTAGTTTCTTCGAGTGGGCGGAAGGCAGTCGAGGAGGTTGGTTTGTTGTAGTCCGGGACTGCTGGGGTTAACGATTCTTTGAGCCAAGGGAGCTTAGATTAGTTGATGACAGCAGTGGCGAGCTCGTAATGCTTGCGGTCGCACGTGTAGGTGTGCGAAAAGGTGCTACCCACAGTGATGACGTCATTCGGTCCCGGCATCTTCAACTTGAGGTAGGTGTAGTTAGGGATCACCATGAACTTGGCGAAGCATGGCCACCCCAAGATGGTGTGGTAGGACCTTGGGAAGTCCACCACTTCGAAGGTGAGGACCTCCGAGCGGAAGTTAGCTCGGTCGCCAAATGTGACAGGCAAGTCGATCTGCCCGAGCGGGTACACCTGCATCCCTGGGATCATGCCATGGAAGGGAGAGCTTACTGGGCGGAGCTCCGACCGGGGGATGTGCATGGCGTCGAGGGTGTCGACGTAGAGGATGTTGAGGCCGCTGCCTCCATCCATCAGTACCTTGGTGAGGCGCTTCTTGTGGACAATGGGGTCAATGATGAGCGGGTAGCGACCCGGTCTGGCGACGTGGGAGGCATGGTCCCTTTGGTCAAAAGTGATCAAAGATTTTGACCAGCTAAGGAAGGAGGGGATGGCCGTTTCGGCGACACGTGCCTCTCTGTAGCGCACTTTGTGCTGGCGCTAGGAGTAGATGGCATTAGATCCCCCAAAGATCATGAGGCATTCCTCAGGATTGGGAAAGCCGTCCCCATCCTTGCCCACCGCGCCTCCTTTCTTGGCCGCTGCCTCCTTGCCCTTTCCTTCTTTTGGCCCGCCGGCCTATTGCAGAAAGCGCTTGAGGAGTTCGCAGTCCTTGTAGAGGTGCTTGACGAGGTAGGCGTGGTTGGTGCACGGGCTCTCCATGAGCTTATCGAAGCGGTCAGGCTTGCCCTCGTGATCAGCCGTGGCGACCAACGCGGATTTGGCCAGTGGCACCGATCCTTCTTATTCTTTTTGCCCCTCTGCATGGAGGGGCCCTCGTCCTGGTCCTCGCGCTTGGCCTTGCCCTTGTCTCGGCCTCCATTAAAGACCGCTCCGACCGCCTCCTCACCGGAGGCATGGTTTGTGGCGACATCGAGCAGGTCGCGGGTGGTATAGGGCTTCAGATAGCCGAGCTTGTGGATCAAGGACTCGCAGGTTGTCCCAAAGAGGAACGCGCTAATGATGTCTGTGTCGATGACATCAGGAAGCGAGTTGCATCATTTCAAGAACCTACAGATGTAGTTCCGTAGGGACTCGTTGGGCTCCTGCTGGCAGCTCTTGTGGTCCCAGGAATTTCTAGGACGGACATAGGTCCCCTGGAAATTCCCGATGAAGATCCTCTTGAGATTCGCCCAGTCACGGATGCTGTCATGCGGGAGGAATTCGAGCCATGCTCAAACATGTTCCCCCACACAGATGGGGAGGTATTGAATGATGAAGTGGTCATCATCCACTCCTCTGGTTTGGCAGGCGAGCCGAAAGTCTTCAAGCAATATACCAGGATTCGTCTACTCGATAAATTTGGCGATGTTGGTAGGAGGTTGGAAGCGTTGTGGGAATGGTGCTCTCTGGATGCATCGGCCAAAGTCCCGTGGTCTTGGGCCATTCGGGCTGGGACTCCAGTCATCGGGTCAGTGACCATACCTGGGGTGCGTTTCAGCACTCCCCTCGATGGTCCGGCCGAGGCCCGTGCTGCCTGCTCTCACCGCCCCTTGATGGATGTCATCATCATGCTGAGCCTGGCCCTAGTTGTTGATGACGCTACAAGCGTCTCAGTGTGGTCGGTGTGGAGCGGATGCCGGGTCAGGCCATGGTGCAGTTGTGACCTCCTGTTCCGCGCCTGGCGACTATAGAGGTGAGCGGATGGAGCGATGCGACTGATGCGCCCCAATTCCCCTAGTGGGGAGAGAGGCCACGAGTCAGTGTCGCGACGCGGAGCTCTCCACCTGTTGAACGGCGGTGGTTTCCACTAGCGTCCAGAGGTTCTGGTGGACCGCCTGCTCCTAGGGGCGATAGGCTCTGTAAGGCCGCGCAGAAGCATCACCACAGCGGCGATGTTCTGGTCGGCCCGAGCGAACTATGGGGGGTCGTCCCCCCCATCCATGATGTTGCGCTGGACCTGGCGAGCGCGAAGTCGGGCGCGCTCACCAGGTGGTGACTAGCTCTGCCACCTTTGTCGTAGCTCCTCGTCGTGCTCCTGTGCACGTGCGAGGGCCTCCATGTGAGGGTCCAGAGGGGTGTGAGTCTGTAGGGACTCTGCTACCACCGACGGCTGTCCTGGAGCGTCCGCCATAGCGCAATCCCAGGACAGAGGGTGGCTAGGTGCCACGGCATCGCTGATGCTAGAACCATCGCTTTCAACCTCGTCATCCATGAGGTCGTGGAAAGAGGCGGGAGCGTAGCCCGCCATCCCCACGAATTCGGATGTGAGAGGGGGCGGCATCAGCATCTTTTGGAGCCCCCGTGCATACACGTCCATGGGGGACGCGAGGCCATAGGGGAACCGGTTGCATTGCGGTTGCGGCGGGGACAACGGGGTTCCTCCAGAAAATCGGTGGAAGATAGTAAATAGTGAGTAAACAACAATATGTACGTTACTCACAGTGGGGTTTGAGCCCGGCGTAGGCTCAGAGCGAAGCGCAGGCACCTCGTCGTTGAGGTTATCGGGTGTCTTGGAGCCGACGGATGGCGCTCCTCCTCCGACGGGCGCCGAGACAAGTGCCTCCTCGCAAAGGCGAAGCACGCCGAGCTGGTCGGCGATGAAGTCCAGGCTTCCGAAGAGGAAGGTCTGGGACGGCTCGAGGATAGGAGGAACCCACATCCCAATAGGTGGGAGTGTGGGAAACTCCAGCGAGCCGAAGAGAGTCGTATCGCTTGAGCCCGCCATGCCGATGATGGCGGAAAGGTGGGCCATCCGATGACCAAAAGCGTGAATGTACGGCGTCCTCCCCACGGACGGCGCCAACTGTCGGTGCGAAAAGTGACCAACTAGTAAATATTTGTCATTTTGCCGTACGTTGTGATCGGATGTGGCCTAGCACTCAATGACACAGGGTTTATACTAGTTTAGGCGACGTGCCCTACGTCCAGTTTGAGTCGGTCAGTGACTTTATTCCTTATCCCCGGTGCTCGAAGTTTGTTGCAGGGTTACAAACGAGTAGGAATAAGGTGGGGGTGTCAGAGGTCCAGTCGGACTCTGGACCAAAGGGCCGAGAGTGACGGGAGCTCCTACGTGCGCTATGTATTGGAACGTATGCTCTGTGTAGCTTTAGGATGTCTAAAGCTAGCAGAGAGTGATTCGGAATGATCCATCTGTTGTTCGTCTCGTGTTGTCCAATCGCCTCTGTTGGGAGAGGGTGCATCCCCTTTTATAGATGAAGGGGACGACCTTACAAGTGAGAGAGAGAGAGTGTGTGTGCTACCTAGTCTTGTTGCCCACGCCGTCGGGTACAAGACGGTTTGTCAAAGCCCACAATACTGTTGACGCCCAGATGCATGTGGTTGGTTCCATCGTGTTCTTTTGGTATGGCCAATGTCGGCGCCTACCATACTGTAGGACAAATGTCGGCGCCCACAACACTGTTCGTTGTTCTGACAGGTCTGGAAGGTTATAAAGTACCCTTCTGACATGACCTGGTAGTACTGTCCTGCAGGTGTGCAGGGTACGGTCCTTGGTATTGCGGTTGACTTGAGCGCCCCGTCTTACTTGCTCCGCCTGATTCTTTAGGTCCTTACCGAGCGGGCGTCTCCGTTCAGTCGTTTCCCAGTCGGCTCCGACCGCGCCGGTCGGAGAAGAGCTGTAAGCAGAGGTTCGGTATACTCCCAGTCGGAGTCAGAGACGAGCATCGTTCCTTTCTTGGCCAGGCCTTCTGGTCGGAGAGGCGGGTCGGAGTCGGAGGTGAGTGTCGTTCCTTCCTTGACCAGGCCTTCCAGTCGGAGAGGCGGGTCAAAGTCGGAAGTGAGCGTCATTCCTTCCTTGGCCAGGCCTTTCGGTCGGAGACTGGATTGCTCTTCTGGCCTGTCGTTAGATATCTAGGCTGGCCCAGGAGTTCCGCGTTGTTCGCAACGTCGTCTACTGGGCCAAGCTTTTGCTAGGAAGCAGGTCCATTAGGGACCCCGGGTTTATGAACCCGACACCTTGTTTCAGAATTAGTTTCTACCCAAACAGCATATCACAAGCTGAATTAGTTTCCTAGTGCACAAGGGATTACAGGTGTTTAAATTTTCATTTGTAAAATTTACCAAGTTGCCAAGCAGGCCCTTAGTGCATTAGTGTCATTCTAAAACCCTCTCTTCCCTTTCCTAGGTTGGATTCTATATTTTAATAGGTTGAATGTGTGGCGGACCAAATTGTGTTTTTACAGTGTGCTAAAATCAATGAGTCCGGTGTGTTGTGCACAAGATCACACTTTGGGGATGTCCCACGCACAAAAGGCCCTTTCAATTTTGTAAAATTTGAGTGACATAGCTACGAATAGACGAATTGTAATGGCATTTATCTGAATAGAGGCACATTTGCAATGACATGGATCAAATTAACCCTAGAAAAATATGGTGCCCAAACCTGCCATTGATATGGTAAATGTTAGTGGCCTTCTATGGCAATTGACGCAGCCATGACACTTACACAAAGGTTCAATAATAAGATCGGACATAACTGTGCTGAAAGAAAATAGGAATTCATTGCATAATGGACTACTGTAGACCGATGCAGCAGCATAAGAAACATCAGAGATAGTTTGTCCTAGAGAAATTCATCAAAAGAAAACAACTGATATATTTGGTCTCATCATGCATTTAACAATAAAGTTTCAAGTAGTCTTCATCATAGCAATCCCCCTGGCATGCATTTAACGATAAAGTTTCAAGTAGTCTTCATCATAGCAATTCCCCTGGCAAGAAACCAAAACCATACATGTGAGTCAACTGTAGCATGAGATTGATATCTCCATCGAGTAAAATCAAGATCATATTTTTCAGAACATACACCATACCATGTAGTTGTTATCTTGGCTTTCAGCGACATCATCATCACTCTCAGAGGCCATTTCAATTTCACTGCTCTCCTCATTTCCCCACGCATAACATGGTTCAAGCTCATGAAACTTTTCCCACAGAAAATCTAAGGCAAATTGTCGAATCTTCATGGACGTACTAATGGATTTACCAAAATTACACTTGAAGTTCTCAATCAACCACTCAGCCTCCTTTCTGATACCCTGATGGTGCAAATAAATTAATCGAAGTCATGTAACACAAACTTCAGACAAGTGTACCAGAATGTGGTTAGGTGAAGGCAGGCATGCACGCACCAGAAGGGCAGCAGCAATATGAGAAGACCACTTCCGACAGGTAATAAAAAGTTCAGCAGCAGCAACCCGGATGTTATGGCAAAAGGTGTACTCATCATCGGTAAAAATACGGCGCCCATGCCTCAGCCATTCACAAATCAACTCAGCCTCCTTAGCAAGACACTTGAAACCATCCATCATTTTTTTTTTTTTTTTTGCAAATAACCAATACAAGAAAGTAGTGAGCCTCTCTTTCAATCATTAAAATAGAATCAACATGGTAATCAATCAATCAAACTAAACAGCCAGGAGATTGAGATGTACCTCAGCAGCAACGAAGGCATATGGATGTTCTATTTCACCTTTTCCTTTAATCGCAAAATGCATATAGCTAACAATGCATTTATTCACTATGGAACCACGAATACTACTACAGGCGTGTGAATTCACCCACAAGGACATCATGCTGTTCTCCTTCTCCAAATACTTTCAAAGAAAGAAACCATCATTACTTATGCATATCATCCCCAATAAGTACTTCAAAGATAATTGGTGTAATTTAAGTGAATCCTGCTGTGCATATAAAGGAAGGAGCTACGGAGCAATTACAAAAACCGCCTCCCATGGGCGCTGAAGTTAGCGTCACAGCATTTCAGCCCAATGAATGAAGCAACAAGGCTGGGCATAGGCTCAAACGCTTAAAAAAAGTGAAAATACCCAAAGAAAAGCCCTATTTGGATTGGAGGTTTCTGTACAGAGAGTATTCCACATTGGAAGATTTGACTGTACCCACAATAGGCCTTTTCTCATGAGAGTCTAATTGTAATTATTTGGTTCCTATTTATTCACGAAGAGGCACAAAATGGATCACACAGTTGCATCATGAGTCCATAAAAGTACGTTAACAACAGTTAAAATCATGTTTGTTAACACTTAGACAGTTGGTATGAATTTTGTATTAGAGTCGTCAGTAAATTTGTATTGGACAAATCCAATGACTTACTTTTTAGCATAGTTTCTTTAAAAGAAATACAAATTTCGGATAGAGTTTTGTGACCCAACACAGCAACTTTGTACTGATTTCGTAGATAAGCAGAGAATTGAGCTGGTTACCATGGAGGCAGTATCAGCAAGGGATGCAACAGGAGCAGGACCTCTATGAGAGTTGTAAAACCAGTCAAGGTAGGCATTGTACTGCTGCAAGGCAGTTGGATTAGTGTTTTTAAGTCACAAGGAAGTAGTCTGTCCATTTCCAGTTATTTGAATTCATCTGATTTCGCCATAAGGAAGCCACGAGAGGACATTTGAAAGGACAAAAAAACAGTTAACGTGGTGAACGGTAGAGAGAAATTAAACAAACCAAAGGAAAAGATGCTCAAATAATGAATCATTAGTTACCAGGGAAATTTAAAAGATCCAGCGGCGGTCGGGAAGATTGACCTCTATGCGTCACCTCAAAATTGGAGACTTGGGCGACTTGTCCTGGACCGCCTGATGCGCCTTGGATGGGATCGGCATCAAATCGGATCTCGCACTTGTCCGGCATTGACGCAGCTTTGACCTTGCTCGAGGAGGTTAGGGTTTGACATGTGCGGCGCGGGGTGACATGGGAGCGACCACGCTTAAGTTTACTGATATTCCCCATGGGCGCAGAGCACCGAATCTAGCGTCCCCTCTCCCCCATTCGCAGTCGCACAGGATGGGGATGGGAGAGAATGAAGTGGATGAGGCGAGGGAAAGGGAGAGGGAGTGGAGGAAGGAGAGGACAACGACGGCGCAACGACTTCACCATGGACGCCAACCGATCGAGTGCGTGTGCGTCTTCTAGTCTAGGCCTCTAGGGTTTGGGGAGGGGATGGATGGAGAGGAGAAGGCGAGAGGAGCGGAGGTTAACAACTCCCTGGGTGGCCGAATAGGCGGTGCCGCCCTAGGCCTGCCATGTCGTAGCCCAGTAAGGAGACGAGCCGCCAGCGCCAGCGCCGTCGCCGTCGCATCACCTTCCCGACCAACCCGTCCAAGGTGTTGAAAACTACCATCTCCACCACCATGCTCGACGCTCGGCCCCGCCGGTGAGCGTGTGTGCTTGGCACCGGTCCCATCGTAGTCCAGCACACGCAGAGGAAGGGCACGACGGCGCTGGCGTGGGACGGGGGGCGCTTGGTCACTGGCCGTGGCGAGGAAGGGCACGACGCGGCTCCAAAGTTTGGTCGTGGGTAGGAGACACTTGGTCGCTGGCAGCTGTGCATATCGCGCGTGTCCGGCCCCATCTACATCCCCTGCAAGGTATTTTGGGTTTAGGCCTAGACTAGCACTACCAGAAACAGTGACTTTACCGTGTGTCACAGGAACTCGACAAAGACCAAAAAATATTCGGCAAATAGCACACTGTATCTATAGTGTCGACAAACAGCTATTTGCCGAGTATTTTTTATCGCGCACTCGGCAAAGGCTATTTGCCGAGTGTTTTTTATCGCGCACTCGGCAAATGGTTTGCCGAGTGTCAAATTTAACACTCAGTAAAAAAAGTGGTTTGCCGAGTGTTTTCCAAAATACACTCGGCAAAGGATTATTGTTTACCAAGTGTTTTTGAGAATTACACTTGGCAAACCTATTTTTCAAAGAAATTTTTTTTTCTCAGCATACCATTATTGTTTGCCGAGTGTTTTAGGGAATTACACTCAGCAAACCTATTTTCCAAAGAAAAAAATTCTCAGCATATTTCAGTTTAATAGCTGCCATACAAAATACTCTTAGTACACCATATCTGCATGCAGATCATGCTCCTGGCAACATAATTCTCATAATAACCACATAGACATAGAAATGAAGATGACAAATTTAAGAGACTAATGACATGCCGGCTCTCTGCCTGGGAGGCAGCAAGCAAACAGGCCCAAAGCAGTGGCCATAGCATACAAGCTTCTTAGTTCTTATACATACTCAAGTTTTCATAATACAAATGTTGCCCATAATTACTTCTAGCCTTCATAAAGCAGTACAGCTGCAAGAGACAGTAAGAACTTACAAATCTACAAGTGCAAAAGAAATGACAGGCAGACAGTGACCATCTCCAGAAATTTCACATTTAAAAGTATATAATTACCAAAATTTCACAGAATAAATACCACGAGACAGTGACCATCTCCAGAAATTTCACATTTGAAAGTATTATCTAAGTTTCACAGTCCAAGGCAACAAATATATAATTTGCATGCAAAAAAGTCATGTTCTTCTATAAATAGCAATGCAAAAGAGCTCTATTGAACTGAGCTAATAGAAAATAAACTATTGGTCATTCTAGATCTATTAGAGAGCAATATGTCAAAAGCACAAGAACTACATATATTTCACCTGAAGCAAAAGAACAAGAGCAAAAGAACTCGAGAAATGACTCAGATTTATCCATTATCAGCATGACAACTGCAACTTAATTTCACCTAGAGCTTAATTTAATTCTCTCTCTCTAATGTGAATTGAACTGGCCACAGAACTGGTTGCTTGTACTGGTACAAGCCATCCTAGTTAAGCAGCAAACAGAACAAAATATCCCAAGTACCAGCTCATAAGATGCTAAAGCGCAGCAGTTCTCTAATGAAAACTTAATTCATCACAGCCACTCAAGAGTAGTACAAAAACAAAAAAGTCACAAGGCATAATTAGGGAAGGGGAGAGCAGCGTGGCACGAGACTAGGATTCCATATTCAAGATAATGTTTTCATAGCATCTCACCTGACATCCAATGCACCAAATACCAGGTTATGTGCAAGGTTAAAATGTAGCTTTGAAGTTATATGTATAACATCATCTAACCCTCAAAGCAACCAGGGTAACAAAACAAACAAGTTAAAATTGTATTTTAACTTTGCAGTAAAATCTTCTTATTACATTACTCCCTCAAATTCAAATATAATGACATTATTTGAGTGGTTCATCCATGTATATTTCTTATATTACAATAAATTATGTTACTATAGTTCTACTTGTGATTTTCAAAGAAGTCAAGTTACTGATAAAAGACAATGAAGAGCTCCCATTTGGATCAAACTGACAGCTCATTGCTCATATATGTTCAAGAAATATTTGATGCACTATTAATCGTGAATTATGTTGGTATAGTTCTACTTGTAATTTTCATGAATCAAAATGACAGTGCAGTTTCTTCATACAACAAATCAGAGGTGCTACTACTACTAAATCAGTCGGAACAACCCAACAATGCAACCAAGAGGTCATCTTACTATCAATAAAACAGGAGCAGTGGAGGAAGCAGCTCCAGTAGTGAATACATACCCATGGTGGTAGTAGCTCCAACACCTCCGGATCCGGGTGAGGGAGGGACGGCGCCGGGGAAGAAGGCCGGGGAGGGGCGGCGCCGGGGAAGAAGAAGGCCGGGGAGTGGCGGCGCCGAGGACCACCACCACCACGCCAGCACCACGAAGCCCGCCGCCACGCTGCACACCGCCCGCCGCCCGCCACCACCAGAGCCCAGATCCGGCCTCCACCGGCCGGATCCGGGAGAGGGAGGACCGGCGCCGGGGAAGAAGGCCGAGGAGGGGCGGCGCCGGGGACCACCACCACCACCCAGCACCACGAAGCCCGCCGCCACGCCGCCCGCCGCCCGCCACCACTAGAGCCCAGATCCGGCCGCCACCGGCCTCCACCGGCCGGATCCGAGAGAGGGAGGGCCGGATCCGGGAGAGGGAGGGGCAGCGTCGGAGAAGAAGGCCGGGGAGGGGCGGTGCCGGGGAAGAAGAAGGCCGGGAAGGGGCGGCGCCAGGGAAGAAGGGGAGAAGAAAGGGAGGGGCGGCAGCAAGGAGGGGAGGGGCGCTGGGGGCCGGGTGCCAGGGAAAAAGAAGGGAGGGGGCGCTGGGGTCCAGGTGCGGAGGAAGAAAAAGGGAGGGGGCGCTGGGGTTCGCGTGCGGAGGGGAGGGGGCGCTGGGGTTATGTAAGATATTTTTGTTTGCCGAGTGTCCCTGATCGGGGCACTCGGCAAAGTTTTTTTTCTATTTTTTTCTCCTTTTTTAGGAATATTTTTTTGCCGAGTGCAAAAAATAAAACACTCGGCAAACTCTTTATTTGCCGAGTGCAAAAAAGAAAACACTCGGCAAACCTTTTGTTTTCTATAATTGTACTTAATAAATTAAAATTATCAAACGGATCCAAAAAATTATCAAATTTTCACATGAAACAATCTATGTTCTCTATTGTCTATACAAAAAGTTTTGAAGTCAACCCCCAATTCGACCGTCACTTTGACTTCAAATCTTATCAATTCCTTCTCAACGCTACGATTATTCTTCTGCGATGCTTCGGTTTATAAATATCGTACGTGATAAATTGTGCGAAACTTTATCAATTTTTTTACCACACTCCATGTATGATATCATCACATCATGACAAATCTCATGATTTTCAGACTTCGTTTCCTTTTTTAGAATTTAAAAATCATTTGGCCACACGTTCGTGGTCGTGTTTCCTGAACAAGTTGTTCGAAATTTCTTTTTATTTCCCGGGTGACGCCTTACACTAGACTCAATAACATGAATATCATTTTTCTACTCATTTTATTTTATTATTTGAATCACTTACAGTTCAAATTTGACTTATACGGAAAAATTCCTAGAAATACAATAAATTAATTAAATATAGCAAAAAGATCCACAAATATACCAAATTTTAACATGGAATACCACATGTTGTATGTTGAGAGTAGAAAGAGTTTCAAGGTCAAAAGAGAGAGAAAAAAATTATTTTACCGAGTGCCAGACAATTACACTTGGCAAACATATTTCTTTGCCGAGTGCCAAACAATTACATTCGGCAAACATATTTCTTTGCCGAGTGGCTATCTTTGCCGAGTGTTTTCTTTCTAGTTTGTCGAGTGTCGAACTTTGCCGAGTGTTTTTTGCATCGTTTGCCGATTGCATTTATTTTGCCGAGTGTTTTTTTCGCAGCACTCGGCAAAAAGCTTGTTTACCGAGTGTCCGAGGAAATACACTTGGCAAACACCAAGACACTCGACAAAAGGCTTGTTTCCAGTAGTGTAGAGGGATATTTAACTTTTTGCCATCCTCATGGATGTTGTCACCTACATTTTTGTCATCCATGAGAGAAGCTTTGTTTAGTTTTTGCTAATTTTGCTTACGTGGCGAGACACGCCAGCCTACCAGGGTGTTGAGGCCATGCAAAAAAGAGTGAGATGCCCCTCCTTATCCTTTGTTGTGCGCTCTGATTGCACGACCCAGCCCAGCCCGTCCACTTCGCCGTGCAAGGGCGACGAGGCGTAGCATCCCGCCGCAACCTCCGCCCGTGACCATAGCTCGCCAATTGGCAAGGATGAAGATTGCGATCGTATTGGTGCTGCTGTTTTCTATCCTCGTCTCGTCCACCGTGGAGAAGTTCGATTTCTTCTACCTTATTCAACAGGTGATGACAGTGCATTGCACGCATACATGCCTTGACCGGAGATCGATCGATCAACCTTTGATGAATGTAATCCAGCGACGACGAATCTAATCTAATCGGGTCTCCCTGACTTCCTGTTGATGCATGCATGCAGTGGTCTGTGGCAGGGCTGCTACTTCCCGGACACGTGTCCTGTTCGCTTGGCTGATAAGTCATGGCTGAATGTACTGTTGACTAATT